TAAACGTAGATTGATATAAAGTGTTTATTATTCCATTAACATGTTTAGACATAGCCTTATATACATAATCGGTTTAACCTAATTACAAGAATATAAATTACCAACTAAACCATAAGTATATTCTAATTACATTTCGATCCATATCTCTCTCAATTTGTTTTATCCTAACCAATGGTTAAGAAAAATCTATTGCTTTTTTTTTAGAAAAATTACTTCTGGGTTTGGTTCTGTTTCTGGTTATAAGCTCATCTATTTGATATTATATTCTACACAGAAGCTTATGATGCACTTGACCCAAATGGAAACATTACCATAAAATGGGATATTATGAGCTGGACTCCTGATGGCTATGTGGTAAGAAATCTTATTAACTTTACCTTCAAAATCACAGTCTTTTGATAAATGCAACTTGTTATATAATCAGTCTTTTCTCAATGTTTCTTCAATAAAGTTTATGGAAACCAGTTATTGACATTTTGTGTATTTCTGTAGGCTGTTGTAACAATCTTCAATTTCCAACAATACCGTCACATTCAGTCCCCCGGGTGGCAATTGGGATGGGCATGGCGGAAGAAGGAAGTGATATGGAGTATGGTTGGTGGGCAAGCCACAGAACAAGGAGATTGTTCTAAGTTCAAGGGGAACATTCCTCATTGCTGCAAGAGAACCCCAACAGTTGTTGACTTGTTACCGGGAACTCCTTACAACCAACAGATATCCAATTGTTGTAGAGGCGGTGTGATTAGCTCGTGGGCGCAAGACCCGGCAACTGCCATTTCTTCGTTTCAGATTAGTGTTGGCCAGTCTGGAACAACTAATAAGACGGTTAGAGCACCTAGGAACGTCACTTTGAAAGCACCAGGACCTGGTTACACTTGTGGGCCCGCGAAAAACGTTGTACCGAGCAAATTCATTTCTACGGATAAACGAAGAAAGACTCAGGCTTTGAGTAAGTTTAATCTTTTGTGTTATCATTTAATTTTACCTTCAAGTGGTTTTTTGAAAGTCATATTTTAGTGCTTCTAATTTCATCGCTCCTGTTGCTTTCCTTCGGTAGTGACATGGAACATCACCTGCACATATTCACAGTTTCTTGCGCGGAAAACTCCCACTTGTTGTGTCTCACTCTCATCTTTCTACAACGAAACTATAGTACCATGCCCAACTTGTTCTTGTGGATGTCAAAATAAGTCTCAAGCTGGTACATGTGTGGAGTAAGTTTATATTCTCTTAGAAACTCAATCTTGGTTTTGTTTTTTATTTTATTTTCTGAATCATTTTCTTGTAACAGCCAAAAAATAGCTTCGGTAGTACCACCTTCTATTGGGAAGAACAACCTCGAACCGCTCTTGCAATGTACGCAGCATATGTGTCCCATCAGAGTTCATTGGCATGTAAAAACTAACTACAAAGAATACTGGCGAGTGAAGGTCGCAATCACAAACTTTAACTACAATATGAATTACACACAGTGGAATTTGGTCGCTCAGCATCCGAACTTTGACAATCTCACTCAGCTTTTCAGCTTTAACTACAAACCACTTAATCCTTATGCTGACATAAGTAAGCT